AGAGTCCGACGGTGGGGGGGCGGGGGCTGCGGCTGCAGACGTAGGAGGGGCTCACCTCGAAGCGGTACAGCAGGTACTGCCCGAAGAGAAAAGCCGTTTCCAGCAGCGAGCGGCACAGCAAGTGCAGGACGTAGGCGCGCATCAGCCCATCCTGCTTGATGCGGCGCCGGCCGGCGTGCTTCTCTCCACCCTCCGGGCTCTTCTCCTTCTCCACCTCGATCTCCTCAAAGATCATGGGGTCCTCTTCATTATCGTCCTCCGCCTCCTCGTAGTCCCGCCCGGCTCCCCGGCGCACCACCGGCATGCGTGCCCGCCGGGCTGCTGGTGCCCGGCGCCGTGAAGACTCGGGCATGCGGGCAATGCGGTGCATGGCGAAGCCCAGGTAGAGGACCGACGGCGTTGCCACCATGATGATCTGGAAGATCCAGAAGCGGACGTGGGAGAGCGGGGCGAAGGCGTCGTAGCAGACGTTCTCACAGCCGGGCTGCTGCGTGTTGCAGACGAACTTGCTCTGCTCGTCGTAGTAGATGGACTCACCCCCCACGGCTGTCAGCACGATGCGGAAGACGATGAGGACGGTCAGCCAGATCTTGCCCACGAAGGTTGAGTGGTTGTTGATCTCCTCCAGGAGCCGCGTCAGGAAACTCCAGCTCATCCTGGCCAGGCAGGTGGCTCAAACCCTGTGGGGAAGGGTCAGGAAAACGGGCACTGAGCAAACCAGCGTGCGCCTCACCGGGTCCCCCCAAACCCCCAGCTGTCACCCCAGCACTGCCACTCTCCCCTTCCCAGCACCGACATCCCTTCCCTTACCCACAGGTCCACAAACACAGCCCTGCCTGGGCAGCCATCCCAAAACCACGTCCCATGCCCAGCGCCTCCTCCCCACACTCCTGTCTGCATCCTGCTCCCGCCCCGCCACCAGCCAGGTGGGTGGAGGGTACCCGGGGAAAGGCTGCAACGTCCCTGTTCCCCGCAGGACACATCAGCTGGAAGAGTGAGCACATCCAGGGTAAACACGACAGCGTGGGGCAGCGCCAGCTGGGGACTGTGAGGGGACAGGAATGGGACAGAACCACCTCCTCCGCCCCTGGCACCGCAGCACCCGTTTGCCACCTGGTCCTGGGCAGGTCCCCAACCAGCGCCGCACCCTGTGCCAGCACCCACACCCTCCCACGGGGGGTCCACGGGCCCCTGGAGGAATGCAACACAGGGCAGCCCCTCCAGCCCGCTGCAGCTGCCAGTTCCGAGCCCCGGCCAAAGAGGGTCCCCTGAGCAGCATCCCCCACCACGTGCCCACCAGCCGGGCCCTCTGCACCCCACAGAGCTCCTCCTCAAGGGCCAGCAGAGATGCAGGATCACTCTGCCCCACCAAATCTCCGTGCTGTGCCCTCCCTCCTGCAGGGCCCCCAACCCTCAATCCTTACGAGCCCCCAAAGCCCATGGTGGCCACAGCATCCCCCACCACGTGCCCACCAGCCGGGCCCTCTGCACCCCACAGAGCTCCTCCTCAAGGGCCAGCAGAGATGCAGGATCACTCTGCCCCACCAAATCTCCGTGCTGTGCCCTCCCTCCTGCAGGGCCCCCAACCCTCAATCCTTACGAGCCCCCAAAGCCCACGGTGGCCAGCGGTCAGAGCACCCTGCAGCCCGATGGCAAGAGCTGGTGGGTGGAGAGGAGCAGGAGAGCGATGGCGAGGGGCAGCGTGGAGCGGCCAAGAAATTGCACAAAGTCCCGGCGAAGCAGCTGACACCGGAGATCGGGGAGGAAATTACGAGGACCACACCACAGCTCCGGGCCAAAGGTGAAGACGCAAGAGGAGACACCCCACCACCACCACCCCCACCCCCTGGTTTCAGCAG